CTTGTCACTTTATGCGATGTGTGAATTATGGAACTATCTTCTACGTTTTTGAATGAGTAGTGCTTTCTGTGGAGTGAGTTCGCGAGTTTGAAAAATTTGGGTGACTATGACATTGACGTGCATAAGAACTGTAAAGTTCATATTTATGGGTTTTGATTTTCATGAGGCGATATAATTCTTATTGATTATGGTGTGTTCGTAATGAGTTTATGTGCGTGTCAATCCCGTTTTCTTTTAGCTGCCAAGTTCGTAATGTGTTTCTGTTGTCCCCGTGCCTTAGAAATATTTGTTGCTATTTTATGTGGATTTTCTCCCGATTGGAGCTCTTTGTTAAGTCGTGACCACGCCTTAGAAATATATGTCTCTGTTTTTGTGTTTGTCTGCTCCCAGTTTTTTTTGTTCTGCTGTGTCTCTTTTTTTTGTTAAATAAAAAAATTTTACCAGCGTTTTTTTTGCCATTAACGTTTTTTTTAGCGTTTTTTTTCTTTTAAGTTTTTTTTCTTTCTCTCTCATCTTACGTTTTCCTTAGTCTTCTCTTAGAGTTTTTCACAGATCGAAAACACAATTCTCGTACATCCACATTCTAGGGCTTATCTGGATCTTCAAAATCTCTCAAATTCTCTCCGGCGATAACTCGATTTTCGATGGCTCCCCGACAATTGACGAGGTAATCGGGTTTAATTGGTTCGTCTTCGCGGAATTCTTCCCTGCCGCCGTCCAAGAAATCTCGCCGACCTCCTTCATCGTCGGCTGCACCGGCTCGTCGTCTGCAGCCCCCTGGTCGTTTTCCACGGCGCCCGTCCCTCAGTGGTGATGAAAACACCCTGCCGGCGACTCCCACTTCCACTCCTCTTGTCTCTGGTCACAGCCCGCAACTTTCGAGTAGGCGCTCCGGCCGGGTTTCTCGCCGAGGTGAGACCGCACCTCTGCCGCCGCCGGCCGCCCGTGCCTCTAGTATTGCTTGAGCTTGAAAATGTTGAGGATTATTTTTATTGAATATCTGTGCTTGAGTTGAGGGGGAGCCAAAACTGAATTCGGGCCTCACCACTCTAATATTCGGCATCTACACTCCATGTTTTCTGACCAAAAAGGGGAGATGGAGTGCGTCGCTATCACTGTTTGCGTTTCCCTTCCGTATCTCTCTTATATATTTTTCAATGTGCTATTTAGGGGGAGTAGTTGGATTTTAAACTGAGGGGAGTTTGCATTTGGTTTTGTTCAGAAAAGCAAAAAAGGGGGAGATTGTTAATTCGTATAAATATTTCATATATGTTTCATTGTTTTTGCTTTTCTATTTCTATTTATTTTAATAATTATATATTTTATTGTGTTAAATAAATTTCCTTATCTCTTTAGGAGTCCTACAAGGAAAATGAAAAGGAAAAGATTTGAGAATAGATTTGGTGGTGAGTTTGCAAAATAGAAAAGAGAGACTTACGTGGGTGGTGTAGAAAAGTATAAAAAAGAGAAGTAGGGTGCAAGGGTTTGACAATTCTTTTGGTGAGCAGCGTGCGTAAGATATCAAAAGAGGAGCAGATTTTCTTTTCTTGCTGTGAAGGATATTGGAGCACATAATAAGGAGCAGGGACGATATTCTGGAAATTGTGCAGCAACAAATTCTTCTGAGGAGTCTTGGACGTGAGAGGCTTGGGAATATAGGGCAGCACACAATCTTTGACTTATGAGAATTGTAGCAGCAGGAGAAAACAAATAAGAGGACAAGCAACATATAATTTTTGTTTGGAGAGTGAAAGCTTCAGCACGGCATATTCACAAGCAAAGGAGAAGCAGCATATATTATTGGGGACTTGGAAGCTGCTGGACTTTGCTTATATTCTAGCAAATAGAAGCAGTTGTCTTGAACAAGCACTTGATAGCATATTGGGCAATTCACCTTTAATTTTTTTACCTTTGTCCTTGACTTGGCTTGGTTTATGCGTTGATCTTACTGTGATATAGTTCATATAATTATCAAACTCGCGTTTTGTGTTTTTCGTAGTTCACTAGATGTTTTTGGATTGGATGAAAAATTTTGTAATTATTTTATTCTAGTGGAATTTTGGCATGTGGCCTTAGTCTACAAGTATTTTAACTTGTAGGCTAAATTTTGAAT